CTCATCCCAACATGGAAATGCTCGTGGGTGTGAACATGGTTAGGGTGTGTGTGTGGGTGTGAGTGTGGGTGTGAGTGTGAGTGTGGGTGTGAGTGTGGGTGTGAGTGTGGGTGTGGGTGTGGGTGTGAACGTGGTTAGGGTGCGGGTGTGTGGTTCTAGATCTTCTCTTCATCCACACCCATACTCACATATCCACATCCACATCCACACCCACACCCACACCCACACCCACACCCACACCCACACCCACACCCACACCCACACCCACACCCACACCCACACCCTCATATTGTTATGCTTCACATATACAATAATAATTTCGCTGTATTTGTTTTCTTATCAGTGACAAATAGAAAATAAATCGTTTGTTGGTTGTACGAGCTAATTTATGATGTATTTATGTTATTGCAGGGACAGAAGAATATTGAATGAGTGATGAAAGTATTTGAGAAAAATATTCTTTTTTTTCTAAAATATTTATTTATATCAGTAAGAAGTTACTGCATGTTTAAATAATAGTATAATCAATACGATATGACTCAAAATAATTCACCTGCTCATCCTTCTGATACTGCTTTATAGATTTTATATTATCAAAAAGGAAACAAAAAGTCGATTTACCGACTAGAGAAAATGAACATAGTCAATATCTATTTCTATGTAACAACAATTAAAATATATACATCAGTACAATTATTTATTGTTTATGGTTTGTGCTTGATGTATCTTTATTATGTTAACTCCTATTTAAATCATTAAATTGATCTTATTCATAGAATTATTCATATTTTAGTTATAATTTCTAAGAGAATTTCTTAAAAAAAATTCCAACATTCTAAACTCCATTTTATTCTCATATCAGTTAGGGGTGTGGATATGGATATGATAGTCATTTGATACTCATACTAACACCCTTATAACTTTAGATATCTAAGAAAAAAGAATAAAATATGGATGTATATTAATTTCTAAGCAACTTTTACTGATCATCGTCTCTTTATCTAAATCTATCGGATAATTATGAAGAAAAGTTTTATTTAGTGGAATGATTTATTAGTATAAATTCTTACAGAATACTTTTGAACGAATACTATAATTGAAATAAATAATAGATAAAATTGTGATATCAAGTCTGTGTATTTTTTATAATAGAGATCTTTCTCTCGTGTCTCCTATATATTTATTATTTCATCAGTTCAATAACTAATTTTTAAAATATAATGCACTGAATAACGTTTTCATGAATATTTATTTTCACCTACTTTTATTCAATTCTGATAAAAATTCACAATCCAACAATAATGTAAGAACATGAAAGAATTTTTTTATTTTGTAAGGCGTATTCAACATACTGTGTATCTCAATATAATTTTTATTGTTTGTTGTTTTTTATGTTTTTATGAATATAGTTCTTTTTATTTTAAAACATGTTATTTATAGTGAGAAAGAATAAAACACGCTGTATCTTCTTTTTGTGTATGTTTATCTTGAACAATACATTCAGTTTAAAAGACAACAAATGCATCAGAAACAGCAGTAACAGATTTTGTTCTACTAGAAAATGAATTAAAATATTTCTGAAAACGATGGAGTACGGCAATAACTTTGATCTAAAACGAAAGCCTTTCAAAAAAGCACGATTTATGAGTATAACTGATAATTCATAAGATGTTATTGTTTACAACTAGTTACAAATTGACTAATTTTATAACTCTTTGTTCTTTTCGAAATCTTTCTAAGAGCCCCAAAAAATAGCATTCTATTCAAAAACAAAAGTCACTTTCAAATATATTTAAACTTTGGAAAAAGATATATTCTAGAAATAGTTCAGCTTATAAAAAAAAGAAATTTAAAAATTTTTAAATGAATAAAATAAGTTCAATTCACTTCTGCAAATTATATATGGATGAAATCGTGAGGTTTCTACTATTTTAAGAGGAAAATCTTTTTCTTCCAATTTTAATAGGCTAGTTAAACGTAAAATTGTCGAAAAATGGTCTGAGGTAACGATTAAAATCTTTTTAGTGGTGAAAAGTGTGCAGATGTCAGTCGTTTCTTAGGAACACTTCACACACATAAATTCACTTCTATAATAAATGATGATAAACTGTTAATCATATTTTTCGTACTATTATTCGCATAGAGAGCTGAAGTTTTTATCACATATATATCCAACTAAGATCTTTTATTTTGTCAGTTTTGACTCTTTAGTCAGAATGATTAGTGAAATACATGAATTTTCATATCCGATTTTTGTAGATTTTTACTATGAAACTGCAATATTTTGAAAAAAAAAGTAATTCATCGCTTTTCTTTCTAATTTTTTTCTAGAATATGCTTGCTTTCAATAGCCATTCATACTTTCAGATAGTAGTCTATGTAGTTGTCCATTAGAGATGTATGATACGGATTTGAAATGTCGCGTCGTTCAATTGGCTTCTCTTACCAATCTTGATGATGATAAAAATGGTTGCACCAAAACTATAGAAATACGATAAATTGTCAAGCTCCTCGAACTTAAAAATCAATCATGAATTCTTAAATAGTAACAATAGGATCAAATGAAGAATTTTAATTGATTCTTTTGCTGATCTTCTTGTTTTTATCTCTGATATAGTTTTTGCTTCATCGTTGTCATTGAAATTTTCTTTTTTGCTCTAAGAGATGAATGTTTTTATCTTTTAAGAATTCATGAATGATTCTTAAGTTCGAGGAGCTTGGCAGCTTATCGTATTTCCATAGTTTTGGTGCACTTATTTTTACCGTCATCAAGATTAATACCAGAATTCAATTCAACAACGCGACCTTTCGAATTTGTATCATATATTCCTAATGAATAACTAAATATACTATTATCTGAAAGCATGAAAAGCTATTGAAAGTAAAACTTTTGTAGAATTCAATGAGAGAATATGAGATGATTTATTTTTCCAAAATATTGCATAGCATAAATCGGTACAAAAATTGATGATCTTTACTAATAGGCTCAGCTACAGATACGAAAATTTCTGCTCTCTATATTAATAGAAAGTTTTCAAAAAAGAAAAACTAGTTAATAGTTTATCATTAGTTATGATAGAATACGCCTTCTATTTTCAAAAAGCATTCAAGTATTATTTAAGATCGTTTTCGACGATGTTTCATGTCTAATTAGACTATTAAAATTAAGAAAAGAAAATTGCTACAGAGCATTGACAAAGAATAAGTTTATTCTCGAAACTAGTAAAAAAATCAATGAATTCACTCATATTCAACATTAGTGGATACCATCAACTACGATCATAACTAGAACATATGTGGCAAATCAAACTAAGACTCATCAGAAATCTAAGAAGAACCAATTCATATGAACTGTTTACCAATGAAAACTATCTGAAGTTGATTCTTTGCAAGATTTCGACAGAAAATATATTCTTTATAGCTTTTGGTTACAGCTATTTTCCTAGAAATAGAAATAATATGACTCACCTATTTGAATTTTTGAACTAATCAATAAGTATAAGTGAGTTAGAAGAGAAAGAATGGACCCATGTAGCCAATAATGGATAAATAATGGAAAAATGATTCATTATTTGCCATTATTTTGCAAAAATATCAAATAATAAATTATAATTCATTATTTTTCGGAATTTCAATGCATTTCAATGCATTGTTTGGAAATAATGCTATAATGAAGTATAATGCATTAATATTCAATGCATTATAATGCATCATTAGAAAAAAATCTTAAAAAATTCAAAATTCAATAAATTTTCAATGCATTTAAATGCATTATTTACGAATAATGTACAAATGCCAAATAATGCATTGAAAATCAATGCATTGCAATGCATTATCGAGGAAAAATGTTCTAATGATTGATAATGCATTGGCGATCAATGCATTTCAATGCATTTTCCGAAAATAATGTTCTAATCCCGAATAATGAATTGAAAATAAATGCATTATCATGCACTAAGAGAAATAATGTTGAAATGTTTGAAAATTTAGTAAACTTCCAATGCATTTTCAGAAATAACTCATCAATGTTCCACAATTCAGTAAACTTTCAACGTATGTTAACGCATTTTCATACATTATTAGAAATAATGCTTAAATATTTCGTAATGCAGTCAAACCTATATGTAGTTCCAGAGAACATGTCCAGAAGTTCCATAAATCAGTAAGACTGTAATGGATTATGATTCATAACTTAGAATTTTGATCTCTTAACTTTAGCAGTGCGCAATGCACGGAAAAGAGATTGCAGTAAGATCGTTCGCAAAATAAAACACAAGATGTCACAAAGCTTAAGACAGGCTTTCGACAATTCACCAGTTGTGCTCAAAGACAAATGTAGTTTTATTGCGTATATATAACATGTTTATTGTTGCAGGCGAGTGGTATATAAATATACATGAGCACAGAAACAAAAGGAAATATACAGAAGCTGGTAAAGAACCAAGAACTCCCTGAAAAGTACTAGAGAGAACATTCATGATCTATGCAGAAAGACTAAGAGAACAAATGTAGATAATCATCGTAGAAAGGCGAACATATGCTTTCACGCATGACAACAGAACACAAGAAGATGTCGATGAAAAATACATACGACAATGTCACAACAATAATACGAGGAAAGATGACATATACAACCCATGACGCCCCTTAACCGCTTTCTATATATCACACCATTTTAACGAACATTCATTCAAATGCATCTATGAACATATAAATCCAATGGTTTAGTGATAAAGGATACGTATAAGTTTTAAGTAACGAAGAAAAGACCAAAATGTCGTGCTT